TAAGTTGTCTTCGTTTAGTTTGAATAATGCTCTTGGCTTTTTGGGTTTGAATTCAAGATTGGCTTGAATATTTCCTTACATGCAACTTTCAGTATATGCATATTATCTTTTATGCATAGTAGCGTTCCGCTAACTCTGTTCTTGCTAACGTTGAATAGCAAGAAAGAACAGGTAACTTTTCGATAGATACTCTACTTCCTTTTCGGTAATCCAAAATGTTCGATGCGATCGAACTGTAAGATAGCTAAGTACCGATATATATAGTGTCCGTAAGCTCCGTATATAGATGAACATGTACGTAAACGTCAAACTACGTATACTTATATAACACCAATAAGGGGAACGCACCGGTCGACCTTATCCTTCGGAGAAGTATCCTCAAGATAAGAAACGATGCGGAATTAAGGCCAGACATCAGCGCTCCAGCTATCGTTTTGTATCAAATAGGGTTACGCATATTATTAATGTATCACATACCTGTATAGCATAAATGGCGAGGGACGAATGATTAGTAAACATACTGCACTGTGTGGTACTTCTCCGTGCATCAGCTGTAGCGGTGACAGTTTAGACCAAGTTGTGTGGATAGACGGGGAAATATGGGGCGGTTGATACAATACAGCGGTGCTTTATGTTTCCCTGTCTCTTTTACGTAATGCACAAGTAAAGGGAGCACATAAAGCATGGTGAAAGGGGACCAGTTTAGCTGCCAGGCCAGATCGATATCTAACCAGTTATGAGACGTTTTTTGGCTTCTCTAGACCAACGTAGCTACTTCGAGGGGTGACGATGGTGGTGACAAGGCCAGCCTCGCGGGTGAGAAAATATTAGTTGGCAAGTCTGTTATTGCTACTATTGTTAGCACTACTGCTACAACAATATATGCTCGTGATTGTTGACAGCCCGTAGCAAGGTAAGGAGCAGGCTGAGGAAGGTTAGCACTATTATACGACATCAAGATCCGTGACGCTTGCCGCATCTGGTCTTTGAGCAGCATTTGATGAGAAAGATAAAACGCCCGAAGGCATCCATAATGAGGAAGCCTTACGGAAAGCCTTATTTTTCTCAGGACAGGGAAGAAAAACAGCAAAGATATCTTTTCATGTAGAAAAACAAGACTAGAGAAGAAAATCATTAGGCGGAACTGCACGGGCTGCATTGTTTGCATTGTACGATACTATAGTCGTAGTGCAAATAGGTCTAGCATAGTAGACGGTGTTTATAATGACATGCTATACAAGTACATACAGTTTCATAGATCATAACATAGCATTTAATGCAGTGGTAGTAAGGCTAGTAAAACGTTAAGGTCACGTACGAAATCTTAGTAAAACCAATGCCAAGCTGATGGTCCTTAGCCTGTGTCATTTATTGCAAATAAATTTCAATTATCGAAGTTGCAGATGTAAGTTAACGATATGGTATAGGGTATTCATTATCGCGTTATATACGCTCATGTTTCATTAAAAGTTGGCCTCCAACATGTGATAGGCATTGCTGACGACTTTCCTTGAAAAACTTCCTTGACGTTTTCCTTGAAAAAACGATAAACTAAGGCTAATTATATTAATTGTATCGCCGAAAAACGTTTCGCATAAATTATCCCAGCATTGACCATGACCAACGGCACAGGTACAAAAGCTAGAAATAGCGGGTAATCCTTCAGATAACGATAATTCTTTGAATAAAGTAGCGTACAACTCAACCAAGTTTATTTGAATAGAGGTTATTATTATCGAAACCTTGTGAAAGGCTTTTTGCATATGAACCTACGTACCTCTAAACAATGTAAGGTAACCTTAAAAGGTTATTCAATCGACATTAACGAATATTGAACATTGTAGATCTTGATTACTACTTTTGTAACAATTAAATTCGGTTAGCTCGTACATACACTGTCAAGTGGGTCACGACACCGTAAGCTAGGTATGAAGGGGCAAATTTCTCACCGTATTATAAAATGCAGTGAGCAAATACACATTTTGCTTTGGTAAATATTGGCAAACTGGATTCAACATCTGTCACACAGTGCATGTGTTATTTTCAACAGTCTCGTTAGGGACTCGAAAAGACGGCCACCTTTCTTTCTTTCTTTATGTTTTCATTCATTTAACATGAGCATTCGAAAAAGGCTACAATTCCCAATTAACGCGTATCTGCTTAATTCGATGTAGTATGCGGATAAACCTACATAGGATCGCTTTAAAATTCTCGTACGCTTACCGTGCCCCGTCTCGTTTTTCACGAGTACGAGTCATATAGAAAAGCGCGACTCGTAACGAGCTTTTGCTTTCTTTGCTATTGCTTATCCTTCTATAGGTAGGACAGACTGCTTTGTTGGTGACAAATAAAAAAAACAAAAACTATAGTAGAACTTTGATTGGTCACGGTAACTTGACAGGAATAAATGTAGCGCCCGGCGGCAGCCCTGTACTCTCCAGTTGGGTTAATAGGAAGTCGAAGCGTTTGATCCATTCAATTTTTCCTCATTCTTCCCGATTACGCACCAACAGATTTTTCTGTTGTAAACTATCGAGAGGACTATCGCGTTCTACGCCGTACCTTACCTTTCCTAAAGTTGAACTCATCACTACTTACTAGCTGAAAACGACTCCTATATCCTATGGCTATCGCCTCCTTATGGTAATTCTACCCTAAAGGACCAATAATATTGAACATCACACTCACTTCTTCTGCTCGTACAATGCCTACCTCGTCAAAGATGGCTACGGAGCACTGCAGGCTAAAACGCAATAGCATTGCGGTACTTAGCAATACCGATCGTTTCGAGACAGACAAATGGCTCTCAGCACGAAACAAGCTCTGTCTCGGCCCGGGTCTGACCAACGCTACAACGTATCCAGAACGTTTTAGCAGACACGAGTGAAAATTTATGATAAATATATGATAAATGAAAGTTATTCGTGAAGCATAGACATTTCCAGTATTGCACTAATGAGTGTTGAGAGGATGAAATAATTCACGAACTTTGTGAAGAGCGTTAGAAGAATTGCTTACTGACGAATAGGTCAAGTAAATGTCAGGTCACGCGAAAGTCCCCGTAAGGCCAGCAGTACTGCAGCAGCGAGAAATGTGGGTGGGCGCAAAGTATAAAGCTAACACAAGCTGCACATTATATTTTGATTGAAAATCTACCCCGTGTGTTTGAACTAATCCGAGATTCTACATCTCACAATCCTTAAAAGTCGCCGAATATATTTAGTTACGTAAACGTCCCTTGTAACCATTTGCTTTTCAGTTATTTTTCGTTTATCTAAGACAGGCAAAATGTCGTCTTCGGGAGAACTGGCAACGTTGGGCTGTTTTTGGCGGCAGAAAATCATAACTGACAATGATTGTTGTTCTACATATTTTGAATGGTTGAACATATTTTTTGTTGTGTATCAAATACGTCTGATTTTTGCTATGTTCGATCGCCAAATTGCCAAACAGTATGCATAAACGATTTTACCGTTTCTTAACAATATCTGCTTCTTACGAGCCAAAAATGAATTGCGCTGAAAGATCCTAGTCTCCAGACGAGGCCATTGGGCATTCGACTAATTCAGCGTCTTGTTTCCTTTGACAATACACGTGTCTCCCTAAACACTTCTTCACTGTCTTCTCACTCAAATCAATCTAATGTTTTACGATGCCATAGAATTTTGGGTAGGTTTGCTTCATCAACTTGTTAGAATATCATTCGAACAGCGTGTTTCTGTTTCGCCTTTTAAATGTCGCATAAAATATGATGGCCTTCAAATCTTTTGGCCCGACTTGTTTCGTGCACGAACTTCAGCCAGGAATATAAAACGCTTTTATTATCACAATAGAAAATGGGGCCGGGATTTAGGAATAGTTTATTTTTTGTTTTTATTACCCGAACAGATCATAGGAAATGATGCGTCTGCTCTAACAACGTGAAGATATAAATTAAGCGTTTTATCATTGTTAGCTTCGGTATCCATGAACGAATATTATAATATTAACTGGATTAATATCAAATCGGAAAGTATATTAATCGAACGTAGAAACGTGGTCAGTGACTTGGATAAGCATATCGACACTTTATTTATTGTTCTTGTTGTTGTCGGATACTGGATGGCGTAAAGGCTGTTTCAATAGCCATCCAAGGAAATGTTAAAACATTCTAACTATTATATTTACACAGGGTCTAATAGAACAGAAGGTGTTCCGAGGGAGAGGGGGCCGGGGGGGGGGGTGAAGGGGACTAAAACAAGTTTTCTCCACGAATTACGCTGTCCCGGCAACGAGTTAACTACTATTTTTCTATGAGCTTAATTGTAATTCTCTGGAACACATCAGCTCTCTAGTAATACTTTCCGATAAGTCTGTCTGGTCTCTCGATGACCCCGAACCATTACCCGCCTATTGGGCTGGCAGCAGGGAAACTATTATACCTCGAGGAAATACAGTAAGTTTGGTCAAATAAAGTGAGTTCTATGGATTTTGAGCCTCAGCGAGCCGTTTAGCAGAATTTCATAACCATGAAATATTCATAATATTTTTTTACTGCTCTGTTTAGTTTCAATGTCACTGAGGAACGATAAGTCTTCTGGAATAGAACTTTCCATCAGCTGAAAGAACAGTATACTTTAGGCGGACTAAGCTAAGCCTTTAACCCAGGTCAATATTTGTGTTCGACAACTACCACGCAAACATCACAACATAGCAAGTAAGTGGTAAAGAATTATGTAAAACACGATATAAGTGAACTGTCTATTCTTTTCTTGCAGCATTTTGGAACTCGTGCCAATCGTTCTCAACACGAGCAATACGAAAATCAAACACTCGTATATAAATGCAGTCTTTACGTGACCAGTTTCAATCGCTGAAACAGGCCCGTTGCCTTCGCAACAGGAATTCAGTATCGGCTTGCCAAGTCACATTACCTATTATGTTTTATTACCGCTAGTTTTTTTGTAGTATGAATTTAATTCATAAGCTTTTCGCCTAATCACTCAGTTTAATTTCCTTACTGTTTCTTTTCCTTACGCTGCGTCTAACAATCTGTGCTTAATTTCGTCCGCTTGAGTTTTGCTCGTCTATAGCACTACGTCTTCCTGCGCCTCACCCTGTTGATGTCAACGATTCGATCCTTTTTTGCTCAGATATTTAGTTGCCGTTATTTCAGAAAATTTCTCTGGCATCTGCACATGTTAACACTGCGCCGGTGACGGCAGGTCGGCATCAGCGCAGTTCACAGTGAAGCGCTTTCAAATATACCCGCCTTAGGCAGTCGCCTCACCGCGTCGGTCAAGATCCAATTCTACGATCAGACTGACAACGTAGATATCACATTGGTATCGCTCAGCCAACGTGTCCATGTTTCGTAACTTTCTTTTTTCTTATGTCAATCGATCAAATGCATTGACTTCACTTGAGGAAGAGGGAGATAGAAAGGGAACTCTTGAGAGCTGCGAGGGCTTTTTTTGGTTGCAGTCTTTAAACCGTCGCCGTTACTTTGTTCGCATATTTTTGTGATAACAATTTCGGAGATATCGTTTGGCCACGCACGGTTATTACACCTGTCAGGCCGAGTGTTCAGTCAAAGTGCGGTTTTCTCTCTACTTTTTGTATTTGTTTAGCCCGTGCCATCGGGGTGCGAGAGTCAAACGAAAACTTTTTGCTATTTCAGATTGAGCTTTGTCTATTATTCGTTGCTTACTTTCGTCAGTCTACACGTAGACAAGGTTACGACACCGTGCTCCGAGAAAGTTGAACCAGAAACTTGTGGTTTCTCCCGCCGGAACGTTGTTTAAACTCGCTCAAGATGTGCTTGCTTTGTATAATGAAATTGGGCCGGTGTATTACGCCTATAATGTCGAGTTTTTTTTTTTCATTTTTATTTCGACTACGACGTCCGCAAGTTTCGTTTTCTGTAATTGACATTCAAAGTTATTACGAGATATGCGTTTGCAGAAAAGCCTGCGCTATTTTCTATTTTATGAAGGTGTTGGCTAGCCTTAAAATGGCCATTTTGTAAATTTTATTGTGACCCTTTGTGACGTTTAATGCACTGACGAGAGCTTCCGTTTTTTCTTTGTACTATCGGTGCTCATCAAGGACGCACTAACGCAAATACGAGCCCCAGCACTGTTCCGCTGAATAATTGAGTTTTTATAGGAACTATATCGCAACTGGAATCCTTTCTCTTAGCGCAGGCTTCTGTTGTACTGCGGAGGGATTGGAGCAGGCACAGCTCTGATTGTTATCTAGTGTTCACCTAATACTGAGAAGACTGTACCTGTTAGTCTTTTATGATTATACCCTTGAAACTTTTCACTGCTTGCCAATTGGTTCAACTTTTTTGTTATTTTAAAAAATTCGTAAATAGACGCGGCAACTCGAGCGCCCACGCGCAGTAAGACGGGTGGCACAACTTTTGTTCTCACTTTTACCGTAGTCGTTGATGTTGTTGTTGTTGTTGATCCTGCTGTTACAGATCAGCAACAATTAGCCATAATAATGCCAGGTAGATCCGACGGAGGCAAGCGGAACAAGTTTAAAAATGAACACAACAACACATCCTCCCTTGTTTCGAGACCTATTATCAAACAGTGTATATAAACCACAGCCAAAGTCAACGATCCAGAGCTACTGCAAACAATAGCGGGTTAGTGATGTCCATTCGCTTGCTGGATATTTCATTTGTTTCGTAGAATAATTGTTCTTGCTGCTGTGATCGTTGTATCCTACTTCAAGTTGTCGTTCAACTTAAAACTTCAACAGTTGTGACAGCAAATTCTGGACGACAGAGGCACAGGCGATAATCGCGGGCAAACGTCGCAAAGCTTCATTTCCGGCAATACGCTTTGTGCGTGGCTCGCACTGTACAATAACAACGCCATGTGACAGAGTTGAGAGGGACGAGCAAGCTCTCTACACCAGAAAATACTCGTCCGCCCGCAAATCTACCTCCCAAACCTGCCCTCTCCTATGAGCTCTTTCCCTGGCGCGCTGTGGGTGGCTGATGCCAGACGGCGGAGTAAAATGAGACTTTGGTGTTCCCTCACCTCCGAACGTGGTGGAAAATGGAGACGCTTCTCTACCGCTGTTTCGTTAGGAAGCAACGAAAGCTTGCTTCATAGAAGCAAACGGACATCGCAGGCAGGCAGCTGGACTGGTCGGCACGGCACCAACGAAACGGAAGCGAATAGAGCCCGCGGAAGGATTTCGGCGCGTGAGGCAACCGCTGGCGATATTAGTGCTGCTCATTGTCCTGTTGCTCTACCTGCTGCCTGGCGGCCTGAGACTATCTGCTGGGCGCTTCATTTTTCTTGTGTTCTTTTATCATTTTCTCTCTCTACTCTTCTATCGCTAGATCCGCTATGAAATTCTGCCAACTGAGGACATACTGCCTGACTCTCAGAAGATACATAGAACGATCACCGAAAGAGTCAAGCAGCAATGCCATTGAATGTTTGGATGGAACCGCTCATTGACAAGCGTCCACCTTTGCACTTGCCGTTGTTCCACTGTGATAGACCCTCTGCATAAACCAACTTCAGAAGTTAGCAGGAAGCGTCTGAGAGCATGCTGGACGCGAAACCGAGAGACTGACGTGAAGAAAGGAGCGGTCATAAACGGCTGCGTATGAGCGTGATCCGCCGAGGACACGCTGGCACAGGTATATAATGAAATTATATATACCACACAGCAGCTGAGTACGTGTGTATAGGCGTGTCTCTGTTAGCGTTCTACCATAATGGCTAATAAATTCTAGCCTATATATATATATATATGCGTCTCTATGACAAGTATGCAGAATTTGTGGAAGGCGTGCATTATGAGAAATTAACTTAAGACTGAAGAATACAAAAAGGGCAGCATTTATTTCATGCAAATTTTTGGGGTGGCACAGGAAGCCTTATCGTCGAGATGCTCTACAGCCTCATCGATGCTCGATATTTATAGTCGATCTTCGAAATGACGTAGACCGAACTGAAATATGGTTTCCTTTACCTGACCATGCTTGATAATGCTTGCACAACGGAAATATAGTTTTCCTTAAGGTAGAATATATACACAATTTCCTGAATGATATCATGATTATTTTCTTTTTAATTATCTAACGGCTGGTGATATTGTTCAGTAATTTGTTTCACCCTAGACTCCTTATGACATTCATACTTGGGAGTAAAAGTACTATTTTTCTACAGTTTCGCGGATCCGCCCCAAATAAATGCCGCAAAACCAGTTAGTTTATTTAGAAATTAATAATTCTCTGGAGAAACTTATATGAGATGCCTTTTCAGCACCTGCTTAGGTTCGCATAAAATTTTTGATTTGATCCTGTGTTAGTTCTCGGCGTACAAAATCATAATCTTTGAAGAGACGTGCAGCGATCTTTTTCCCAAACTTTACGTTTAACTAGTCACGACTCACGTGTCTCGGTACACAGTAAAATTGATGTGTCCACCGCATAGACAAATGGGCGTACATTCCTTTGATTGCTCTTCCTTCGCGTGGATTGAGTACCTCAGCTATTGACCGATTCAATGGGGCATCGGCTGTTATCTAACAATGGCTGTGAAAAGTAGTCTACACAGAGATAACGCAAAACTTACGCCGATGTCGTGTGGGTCGTAATATCCAAGTTTTTTAAATATGATGTAGCACTAGTCTCGTCCTTTATCATCTTTTCGAACTAAACCAGACCATTAGGTCCGTAAAAAAGTATATAAATTTTATATTTTACACACAATATGGTATTGTTATATATGGTAAATTAAGATTGATCAAATCAACTATTAGCGGATGAAAGCATTTGTTTTAATTAAGAGTTACATAAACAAGTTGAGAGGTAATAAAGTAAGATTTTGATGGATGTTGCTGGCGTTTAGTAGACTGTAGGTGTTTTGCCATCTTCGACATATAGAGTATGTCGCATATATAGAATATATCATTCAACTTTTCCAAAAACGATATTTTTGGCACCGTGCCTCGAAGGTCCGTATAAAGCGAACTGCTTTGTCTTCTATTTCAGATTGGTGTGTATTTGCCCGTAATGCAAGTTGAAAAGTCGGTCCTGTATGTCTCATCACCATATAGTTGTTAATTTATACCTTTCGTTATGTGCAGTTGTAAGGCTGATGATATATTTGTAGGGAGTCCAAACTCAGCCTCGATGTGTAATTGCCATTCTATACGACGACCTTTAAAACAATTAAGGCTAGTGTCAGAATCAAGGTACCTCGTACTAGATAAAACTCTGGTCTCGTATACCTGCGATGACAAATCTGTTACGTATTCATAGAGAAATTAAGCACTTAAGAACACGTACATATCTTGCGCATTGTTATTTCGGTGGGCAGGAGCAAGCTGGAGTGAATCAACGCGTCGGTCCCTTCGGAGATGCCCAGGTCGTTATTGTCCAATGCAATTATTGGATATGACAAATTGTATCACTAAAGACTACCATCCTGTATTGCGAGTCAAGGCATTAGAAACCTTTGTTATGCCCCTGGCCTTGTAACAGCATGTGCTGTTCTAAACCGGGCCGGAAGTTTTCCAGGAGGTGTTATATGCTCAGATTGCGCATGGTACATGATAGTACTTTCTACGAACAACGCGGTTGCATGGCAATGAGTCAGTGCATCACTAGGTAGACTTTCCTATGAAGGTCAGTGCTGAAGTCGAGAAGGGGTTATTCAGTTAGCTTCAATAATAGCGACTCCTTCAAGGTCATTATGCTCCGGTCGTAATTGGCTGGTTAGTAAGATACTTAGCAGAGATTTCGCATATTTTCAGCTCATTACATATTACTCAGAAATTTTATGTGACCCAGAATCCGGAAGCAAACAAGCCTGTATGTAATAAACTAAATTAAAAAACAAATATATTGAAATCGTTAAGTTGCTCTCGTATTATCTACACGTGAGTTGTTCATCTAAGCTAAATTTCATTTATAAATGCTTGAAGACAGCTTTGGAAAGTCTACCATATTTAACAATCCTAGATATTGAGTTGCCCCCTGCAAAGTAAGGGTCAGATAGTTACACACAGCTGTAGTGCAGGTCTCTAAAATTGCAAGATGAGTCAGTTGTCCGTCGAAGTTAAACTTTATGACAGCCGGGTTCATTGTGAACTGCAATTCTCTTTGTAGAAGTAACAAAATACGAAACAGTGTTGTTGTTTGTTAATATATGCGTAGAAATCGTATAATAGTCCGGGCCTAAAAAACACGTTGGATGATGTGTTGTTGGTCTATCCTCCTGCTCTTTAACAGGAGATCGATAGTTACTGCTCCTATTTAGTTGCACAGATAGGTACAGCGAACTCAGAAAATGATTATTGCGTTTCAATAGAACGTTCTATGTTAATCTACATCCGGGTTAGTAAACTGAAGTTGTTCATGGTTGTATTGCTTTAGTAATACCTTGTTTATTTATAATTAGTTTTTTCCTGGGCCGATAGCAGCTTGAGATTCAAGTAAAGTGTGCAATACAAATCAGGCATTGTCAAAAACAAGTATATAACCAAATTTGAGTTATTCAACTTAAAAAACTGTTTATAAAGCGCATGCTGTTAGTGATAGTTAATTTGACACAAAGGTGAGTGAATTTCGATACGTCTCTATCCACGGTTCACAAACGTCGAAGCGCCTTCGAAAAATACCATCCCTCTACCGTAGTATTGTAATTTTTGACGCATTGCTATGGATAAACACCGGTAATATTAAAATGTTCAAGAAGATGCCTGATGGCAAATACCTAAATGTTAAAAAAATTCTTCGTTGTCAATAGAATCAACGATCTTACATGAAACGTGGTTCCTCGAAGAATAAGTTTATCCACGTAATCTGTGTGCGGAACACTGCGATTGGAATTAACTTATAAAAATTTCCGCAACGTAGTTATTAGTATATGTATCAATAACCGCGTTAAATGCTGTTGTTGATGGTACAATAAGCTGCGTATTGAAGGGTGGTAAAATAGTATAAAAATAAATTATTTTTTTGCAGTGTGGGAGAACTCGCGATCGGCATTTGCATCCTAAAATGGTTAAAGGGTTCTTGAAATTATTCAGTCAGATTGTAATGTATTTCATTCACGTTTTTCAACGTTCCACAGCCTTGTCACTGAGAAGGATTCGACATATCCGGTATAGTTTTGCGCAGAACATGGCGACCAATGTATTATCAACCAATAGCAATTCCAATATGTGAACCTTTTCTGCAGTCCTCTAAACACCAAGCTAAGCAAGCGAGTGACGCCCGCGTGCGCGTATATCCGTGTAGGTCACATCATCATTTAAGATAAAAGGGAACCGGGCAGTTGCATCTGGGCTGTGTTTTTATTATGTTCTGTCATCAACTAGTGCTCCAGGGTGTTCTGGGGAAACCATTTTTTTTTTTTTCGTTAATAGCTAACAGTACCGTTGGCGTCATAAAGATTTTGTTTTTTGTACAATATAGGATAACTAGCGTAGAACAACAACTAAACGTTAATTAATAATTAGTCATAATGAAAAATAATTTCGTTTATGAAAGATATTTAGTTAACGAATGTATCTTCTATCTTATAAAACATCAATATCCTTGAAACGATTTCGTTACTGCCTGCAATATTGGTATTTGAATCTACATCGCAAGCCATGAACCACTGACTTGGGGCTAGGCATAAAAGAGCACATTTTATTGGGGCTTTACTGCGATGAGTTACAGGTGAGATGCTCCATCCATCGCAAGTCAAGTATCTAGCTTATTTCTTTTAATCGGCTTCTTCAAGCAAACCTTGAATCCCCGACCAATCTGAATGCCACATTGTTAGCTGGCTGAGGCGAGAAACAAAGGTT